ACTGATCTCAACATAATACATCAATAAACTTTAAGCGATGGGTGCTGTTCACAACAGAGTTATATAGGAGAATTGACTTCAAGCTTTATTTTTCCCAGATATTTGTATTACATCCATCTGATGTCTGGGTTTTTTGTTAATGCGAAGACAATATTTCTATATTTTTTTATTTGTTGCACAAACAGACTTTATAGCAGACTGTTCCGACTGACTCTAATGTCAGAAAGAACAACCAAACTGTAAATCCATTATACATCAAATTATGTGTAATTTATATAATATCTTATCCATGCCTGTACAATTGGTATGTTCCTGCATGAACAGGAAGAAATATGTATTATTATTACCACTTGCAGTTGCGTAGCAGTTGGCGGTAATTCCAAATATGCTGTGGATAGTGGATTCAAGGATCATTTGACGTTTCCAGCCCATTTTTTCATATCCTCAATATCCTTCGTTGGATTCATCTGTGCAGGTTCCTCCTCAAATGGGAGCCTAATTTCTGGAAACAGATGTTAACAAATCCACCATCACTGCTGTTGGTCCTGGCATGTCTGTCAAATGGATGAGTGAACTGAAGCCTCGATATGCTCTCTAAGAACAAAAGACGTGATCAGAATGCAGTCAGTGCAGAGGTGGCTGAAGATAAGGATCTTCGAGTAAAGCAGTAATTGACAATTCCCGTAATATAATACTGCTTGGCTTGAAGCGCAAACTAGTTCCCTATGATATCCCCTTCTTGTACCCTTTTGCGAACGCGCGATACCTGGTTGAATGTAAGTTTTAAAAGTGTCGGCGTACATTTGAGACCTAAAGACAAGATTCAATGGTTAAAGGCATCAGGTAGTTACTTCTGCTTCTGAAACGAAGGCAGTTTGTACTTAAAAATCTCTGGGATAGTTATCCTGCGTATTGCGATACTTTGCCAACTACAATCTTCCTTTTTCTGAGGCTTTTTGGAAACTTGTGAGACAGCAGGTCGTGCGTCGCGCTAATCGTGATGATATAACTTGAGATGAAAAACAAAACTCATGACCACATAAGAAACGCGTGCTGGCGAAGGGACGGCCCAATAGGAGAGAACACATTTACAACAAACCAAGTCGAGACTACTGTTAATGAGTTGGAGCCTTTCCCTTGATTCAAGCGGTCTATACTATCACAATGTTGTCTACATCTAAGCTTTAACATACTCATTCATGCCAGGGGCAGTGAGCCAAACCATCGATGTTTCCGAGTGGTTGAAACAGATTTCATTAAGTATACTTCCTATGATTTCGACTGGTGTTTGTTGTTGGCTAGGCATCATGACAACCTCTGCCTTCCATATTTATTCATTCCAAACCCTGTTAACCCGGAACCGGGCGCTACACTCCTTAGTGCTGTTGTAATTGCCTGATTGCTTCACAGTTAACGCTATCGAAGACCTTTACAAAATCAATCAAGCTCACATAATGAATTGACTGTCACTCTAGGCTCTGTTCAATGACTGGGTAGTACGGCGTCCTGGTCAGCACATGATTTTTCACTGAATCCATCTAGTTACGAGCCACAACAATTAGGGGGTATCCATAATGATAGTAGACAGCCTTGTCTCACTCCTGTATTCTCTTCGAACGCATCGCTGAGGTTTATGTTGAGTCACTTGGCATGTAGCATCATCACATAGCTGTCAAAATGAGGCTGATAGAGGTTCGGCTTACTCCGTAGTGTTGAAGCAGTTTCTAAAATTACTTCTCAGTCAACACTGCCAAAGGCTTTCAAAAGTCAATGAAGCGGGAACGGATATTTGATTATCATTCTATGCTATATTCCATGGTGATGCGTCGCGTTGAGATTTGATCTAGACACAAAACTTTCCTGAATGCAGCTTACCCAGTAGGGGTTCCCCATCAAGAATACCTTTGAATCTCTGGAATGATTCAGCCCAACATTTTCCATGGAGGTGTACAGGAGCATTATTTTGCTTTATGTTCTGTATTTTAATTTGCAAGGAGACGATGGCGTATATGATTACCAGGCTTTTTGCAACTCTTATTGAGGTCACTTGGTGTGACGGCTGTCTGTTGTGAGATTTTCAGCCACGCCTTTGACCCTTAATTTGGCGTTTGTAAGCTTACCACGTCCTATTCCTTGATTGTCACCACATGAGGTACCCGAGATAGTGATTGTTCATAAACGCAGGAAACGAACCAGCTGAACGAAATCAGTGTGATGCAGAATGTTGACGTTTTTCAACTGTGTGATAAAACAGACATTTGTGAGACAGTGAGTCGAGAGTGATATTCCGGCAGAACAGTATTCAACATGATAAAATCCTTGGTAGTCCAAAATAATAGTCTGTACCAAAAAAGTAATGTGTCCCATCGATACTTCATGGTAATTACGAAGTGTCCCATGCAACAAAAGTATCTTAACAAGCACAGCTGTAAATTTCATGAGGGTCAACCAGAATATTCCTGACAAAGTGGAAAAGTGGTATGTATGAATGAACAGTGATAGAAGCGTGAGAGATGACCCATTGTTTTTTCTATTTATCTGCGGGCTGGATATCCATTGCCATGTCAGACAGATAATGCAAATATGGATTTGGAGCAGGATTTATAAGACATTTTTCAAAACGATGAGACTTTCACTAGGCATGCATGTCTACTTCCGGCTACTTTTGTAACAGAAAGGTTGTCTTACAGACAAATGACACTGGCGATGTAGGTGCAGAATTCACAGATCGGGGGGTTATTGCTGGAACATAGATTAAGTGGCTAGTCTATGGCTTCTGTATGTGCAGAGAAAAAGAACCTAAATCGCTTTATCTGTGACTTTGAACCGTGATTTATATACTATCAGAGGAGAAGGGAAAATTATCCCGCGGTAGAGGACTTCACCCCTGTACAATCTGAGTGTAGAAGCCGTCGATTTCGGTCAAAGCAAACATTTTCGGATACCGTTTCAGCTCTCCTATTGTTAATCAGGGCCCTTACCGATCATTTTTATAAAGAAACATATACTTTCAGATACTTGCATGTACCACCAGAGGCACATCATTTACCGTCGATTTCCGGTTCCAGCAACTGTGCTTAAGCTTTCTTAAACTTTTCAAAGCCAATATCAACTCATTCAGGAAATCTTTATTGTGGGACGTGTGTATACCGTAAAATTCGGATTGTAGATAGAGAATCACTTTTACCAAGTAAAGTTTTTTCTGAGTTTTATGTGCGACGAATTCTCTATGGCATATTTCAGCAATGGCCAGAGATCCATAGATGTCTTCGGGAGAGTACCCCATCATCTCAAAAGAATAACAAGTATATGGATAATTCCTTGAAAAAATGTTTATAACGTGTTTTTCACTGTATGATATAAAGTAAGACACTTGGCTTAACCAATAACCACACAACTCGGAGAAACCTGCAATGGATTAACTTCTAAAATAATTTATTTAATCCTGGGATAGGAACTAAAAGCGAGAGTCCGATCCAGTTCCCCGCACTAAAAAAGACGTTACACAGGTCAAGTGAAGACCTTGCTGAATTTTCAAAACACATGGAGAGATTTTTAAATCATCCATCAGTAACGCGAACACTTAACCGATTGAGGTGAATAAATGTAAATTAAATTAGAATGAAGCTACACAATGGTTGTAATCATTTAGATAAGTCAATAAGAAGACGTAATTTGTCTGAATCGTGTAATGTGTTTGCGTAGCATATTTCGAACAATCTGATCACACAAGGACTTGTAATTATGTCCAGAACGTGTCCAGACCTCAAATGTCCGGCCTAAATTTTTATGCAAAACAAGGATCGTTTGTGGAATCTGTGACAGAGATTCTGCCATTTCCTACGCACTGCAGAACACTATCTTTAGTTGTCCCGTGAACCAGCTAAGATGGTTGGATATGGGAACTGCAAACTGGACGTCGGAAGCCGTTCTACGGAAACTTGAGTTCGTATGCAGACCAATCGTTAAGAAGAGCCAATGTTTACGCATGCATATACGTTTACATGTATTCATTGATTTTATGTATTATTTTTCATCACGTACCAATTTTAGTGGGAGATCACCGAACGCTAAAGAGCACTGGAAAGCTGTTTTGTCTTTTTATTAAGGAACTCTTTGGAAGAGCTCGTGCACGGACCCACCATGAGACGGGCCCTTATATTTCTGAATAGCGAGACTAAGCTTGCGAACACCTAGACATTGGGCATACAGCCGCCGAAAATTTGGACGAAATGGCAACAACAGTACTCCTTGGTTTTCGATTATCTCATTATAGATGCTGGTCCCAGCAAAGTCTGGCATCTGAAATTAAATTAGTCAAAATCCCCACAATTTCCATAATCTTAATGTATACATTAGTATTAGGTAGTTGCACTTCCAGCACAAAAATGTAGATTTGCGAACAAAAATACAGGGGCTTGTTACCCTCCTTGTCTCGACAGTCCACGGTGTAGATGACGGTTTCTCATTCTGGAATTCGATATTTATTCTTTTATTTGTAATATTTTACTAAAGCTTGATTCTAAACAGTATTTTGGTACGAATATGAAATTCGCAGCATGTACTACCGGTAACTGAAATTTGGCAGGAGACCACTGATATCAAGTGTGCGACGGCAGGTGGTCGAACCCCTGACCATGTGCAACATCAGCAAGCGTCCTAACTGCAGTGCCATCGACGCACTTCAATCCTCCACTCATACTGATTCAGCAGGGTTGAATTTACCAGTATTGTCCCATCTCACTATCCTTGTATGTTTGTCTGCATTATATGTGCGTAGTAAAGTCTGAAAAGTTAGTATAATTTTTGTTGCGATTCATTCTTATGCTACAACGTTACCCTGCAATATGCACGCTTGACAGTAATCATGAAGTAGTTGGTGACTATAAAGATATCATAAGAGATATATTAGAAGGTTTTATCAGATATAAGAAGTGGATTTTGCAGATTAAATATGCAAAACCTGCAAGATTTGACTTTGATCATTGTTAGAATCTCGCGAACTGAACGTAGCGCGCGTTATGTAAACCCCCCGACTTAGCCTGCCATCCTTGCGGGCTCAATTGAAGTGGGTGGTTATCGATGTTCTACGCTGTAATGAGCAATTCCCTGAACTCCATCATGCTATTACTAAGAAATTCAATGGATGCGAACCAAAATGTAGGTTTTTGTGTGTCTATAACACACATATAACATGTATGCATAATTAACAGACCACATTTTGCAATTAAAATATTGTGGGTAATATATGTGTTAATATAGCTACTTAAGGGTCAGTGTTTTTGCTTATTTCCAGCTTTTTTTTGGGAAAAAAGTTGATTATTTTGACTTGAAACTACTGATAAACGTGAAATCGTACATTGTTTTCCTGACTGCATGTTTTGGTTCCATTTCCGGCATAGGTAAATCGCAGTGTGCGAAACTTGTTACATCCATCATATATCAAGAGTTATCTGTAGTTAATTAGGTCAGGCAACACCCATATGCCACACTTTAAAGAATCCGTATATTGTTGATACCTTAGATGACACCACTCACAATCCTCAGTCATTTGAGAATAACTACTATGATCTTAGATTAAAGTTAATGTATCCTGTTTTCGCTAGCTGATTGTGTAGCCCGTCCAGCCTTCATAACTGCTAACTCAGCGTATGTCATTTTGAAACAAGCCTATGTCTTGATGGCATCTCTCACACTGCTAGTGCAGAATTGAAAATTATGCGTACAACTATGTCTTAAGTCAGAATATAGCAGCATACGTGGCGGACTTAGTTTCAAAAACTCGGCTGAGACTCTTGGCTTAGATTATTTTCTGTATTTCGGGCGGAGCAACAACCGTGCCTACCAGGTGTAAATGCAACGTGTCTGTTAATAAGATTGCTGGTTATCTTGGTTTTTTTAACCCTTGCATTCTATTGTTTTGATTAGTGGGAAGGAAAACCGTTTTATTGAAAGTTCTTTTCTAAGCATTTATCATTTACATCTTATGTGCTGCAAGCAACCAAGTGTTTTATTCTCCCATATGGGTGAAACTGTCAGTTATATGAGCGGCTTCACTGGGCAGTTAGTCGACCTTATAAACTTGAAGAGCCGCGTTAAACTGCAAATCCCGAAAGTCTGTACGTTTTTCTGTGGGGTTATGCTCTATTCCAAAAGAGGGATGCTCTCGTAGCTAATGAATTCTATGCATAGCTGATAGTTGTTTGGAAGGTATTGCTCACAATTGGTGGCCTGCTAATCGCGTTATATGTTAATATGTCTATTGTTATGTTTCAAAGGAAGAGATGACTAGATTCTGTTAAAGAACACCCGTCAGTAGTTAGTGCATCGATATACTGAAAAAATTCGGTAGAGTTCTGACCTGTCTTTCGTAATAATTCCCGAATTTTACTTATTTCTGTAGGGCTGTGTTAATATATTGCGATGTTGTAAAGCATTGGCGCTTGCCTTTTTCATGTACGTTCCATTTTGGTGTCGTATTCCACTCATACGTGTTTATATTCATATACACGCCTCACAATATAGATTTAGCTCACTGTTTATCCTTCATCTGCATGCTATTTTCGAAATATATCTTCCCAACTGGACTTCGAACCATGGTGTGCGTACACATCAATTGTAAGTAAGGATGAAGCTACAGGCAATGGACAGTGGCAAGCAATAGATTTGGAGTTAATATTGTGAGGTCTACTATAAGTTCACAGTTGATTACTACAAATGATGATGATATAGTCCTTCTAGGCGAAGACGCTGACAAAATGTAGAGTCTCCTGAAAACTTTGAGCTGCAATCTACGAATGTTTGGCATGCGATTCGATCCCACCAAATGTAAGATGATGTTACAGGACTGGATTACATCGACGCCTAGTTTAAAAATAGGAAGTGAAGTGGTGCAGCACGTTGACCGCTTCACTTATTTGGGAAGTAGCATCATCCAGTACCAACGGATTGATTTCTGACGAAATCTCAGCACGAATACAGGGGGCTCGTTTCGCATTTGCCAGTTTACGCCGACTCTGGCGTAGACGAGATGTTCGACTATCGACCAAAGGGCGGGTGTACTGCTCATCAGTCCGCTCCGTCCTCCTTTATGGTTGTGAGACCTGGCCACTGAGAGTGGAAGACATGAAAAGACTAGCTGTCTTTGATCATAGGTGCCTGCGTTCTATTTCCCGTGTAAAGTGGTATAATAAGGTGAGCAACATGGAGGTTAGGCGTAGAGTTCTAGGTAAGCAGGGGGAATCAATCGACGAAGTCGTGAAGTTACAAAGACTGAGATGGTTAGGACATGTGTTACGTATGCCAAGCCATCGCCTCCCTCGACGAGCTATGTTAGCGGATATAGGGTCAGGCTGGAAAAAAGCTAGCGGCGGTCAAACAAAAACTTGGCATCAGTCAATGAAATCCACAACAGTTGGTCTAAGCCACGTAGGAAGGTGTAGACTTCTTGGTTGGGGTCCTCGGGACGGTAAAAATCTATGGTTGGAAACAATTGGTGACATGGCTCAAAATCGTTCTCAGTGGCGCAGATGCATCCACTCCCTGTGACTTATGATCTTCAATGAAACTGTTTTGTATTTCTTTATTACTCCTTTGTCTCACACCTCTGCTCACTGTTTCTATTATGCTTTTCTTGTACTTTCTTCTCTTACTTCGCGTGCTACACGGAATGTGGCGACTTGAACTTCCGCACATTTGTGCAAAGTTCTATGTCGAAAACAGACAGACAGACAGTGAGACTTGGCCACTGAGAGTGGAAAACATGAAAAGACTAGCTGTCTTTGATCATAGGTGCTTGCGCTTTATCTTCCGTGTGAAGTAGTATAATAAGGTGAGCAATATTGAGGTTAGGCGTAGGTCGAGTACTAGGTAAACAGGGGAAATCAACCGACGAAGCTGTGAAGCAACATCGACTGAGATGGTTAGGACATGTGTTACGTATGCCTAGTCATCGCCTTCCTCGACAAAGGAAAATGCTAGCTGATATAGGGTCAGGCTGAAAAAGGGGGTAGCGGCGATCAAACCAAAACATGACTTCATCAGTCAATGAAATCCATAACAGTTAGTTTTAGCCACGTAGGAAGGTGTAGACTTCCTGATTGGAGTCCTCGAAAAAAAATGGCTGGAAGCAATCGGTGATACGGTTCAAAAACGTTCTCAATGGAACAGATGCGTCCACTCCTTGTGACTCATGATTTCCAATGAAACTATATTGTTCTTCGTTATTACTATTTCTTTTGTCTGATATCTCTGTCTACTGTCTCTATTATGCTTTTCTTGTACTTTCTTCTCTTGCTTCGCGTGCTACACGGAATGTGGCGACTTGAACTGCTGCAAATCAGTGCAAAGTTCCATGTCGGAAACAGACAGACAGTGAAGACATCACATTAGTCAGTTTATTTCAGAGCTAGAGTCCTTATGTATTCTTCAGTCCTTTGAGACTTGATAGACTTTCAATTTTCAACATAAAACTGCACGTAAATGCAATACTTCCTCGCCATGCTTCATGTAGTACACAAATGTAAATGAAGGAAAAATTCAGAGAAATGTACATGAGGAAGTATCAAAAAAGGTGGGTTCCCCTGAGTCACTGCGAACTATCTTGAGTCATATCACCAACAGTCTAGATCCATTTGTTTCTTAACACCCTAAGTATCCCAAACAGAAATTCTGAATCTCCTTATGTGCTCTAAACTGTCAGTTGGAGATTTCATGAACTGATGGCAGGTTTTGGTTTGACCGCTCTTAGCTCTTCTAGTGTAAGCCTATATCAGCTAACACGAGGAAGGTGGCGGCTCAGCATGCTTTGTCTCGGTCAATGTAGCTTTACAACCTCATTGATTGATTTGGCTTCTTTACCTGGCATGCGACACCGAAGCTCATAACTCACTACGTTATACTACCTAACACGGGAGATAAAACGCAACCTGTGTTTAGAAGACTGCATTTTGCCAGTGCCTTCACATAGGAGGAAAATATCATCACACTCTAAACTCACGAAATTGTTGCCCGGTAATGCGTCAAACTATAAACGTCTAGAATTAGGGTTGATTCCATTAGTAAGACCATGATGAATATAAACAAAAGTGGGGACCACCGGCATCCCTGATGGACATAACTGGTTGTCATCAGTCCAAACAAAGACTATAGAACCTTACACAACTGAATGAATTCTTACAGTGCCTCGTTGAGTGCGATATACGTACTTGGCAATCCCCTTACGATAACACATTGCCACTTCCCGGTCGTCTGAGACAGGTTTAAAAGCATGATGCGTCTTTGACTCAGATAACTACTTTTGTGTTCCAAACAGTCGGTATCAGAAGTAGTTGTGAATGTGTGGACTCTTCATAAAATCTTTAACGGAAACAGCACTGGTTGACTTGATTTAAGTCTCGGGAAATTCGAGAATAAACTTGCAAAACGATAAGATATTTCAGCTAGTAAAGTATTTTAGGGTGCAGTATACGGAGTTCGTCTCTAGCATGTGTCCGTGGCACAGTGGTTAGGACGGTCGCCGACCATGCACATGGTCCAGGATTTGATCCCCTGCCGACGCACTCCTTTACCACGCCAAACCAGTAATAAGAAGCTAGTAAAGAGGAAAGTTTGAGCATGGGGCTAGGGACCTCATCCTGTAAAAATAAACACTGCTACAGAAACTTCAAGTCTCTAGCTTGGAGCCCAATGTTCCACTGGGAACGTGAAGGAAAAAGAAGAATTGATAGACTAGCGTTGACAACTAAACTAGCATGCAGTTGGGAAGACAATGATTGAGTCCCCAGTGAATTTTTGGTTACATTGATGGAATGACTGCTTGAATAGTTGTAGTAACTCTCCTGATTTATCCTTTCTAGCAAGTAAAAAAATTCCAGCTCACTTTGTGATTATGAGATTGCATAAAGCTGTTAAAAATAATACTTCATTTACAGATATTTACTTCGCGTGTCTTCGGGATGTACTGTTACGGATTATTTCTTTGAGTTAGTGCTGAATGTGGTACACAAAAGGTTTCTACATGATACAGAAACAAAAACTGATTAAAATTGTTCCAAAGTAACAAAGGTTTGTATGATTAACGAGATTCAACCCATGTAACCGCTCGTCTAAAATAATCTTCAAGTTCTTTCGTGTGGTCATACCCTCGTAGTCTGTCAAATAAGCTTTAATCACTGCCGTCATGTGATGCATCCCAACAGTGCATTGACAGCTACTAAAGATTTTGCGGGATTATTAGCCCGTGAGTTCTTAAAAGTCACTTCATAATGGTATTCTCGTGAGTTGACTTCCAAGTTCCAAATTGGTGTCCTGGATTTCAGTCTGAAGTCGGTATCTAGAGTCTGAGTTTGACTCAGCCTGATCTATGAAAAACTTGTCCTGGTCAACTGAATCCACATCAACCAAGAGTCTAACGGGATGTCAAGTCAATATACAAATTTATATATATATATATATATATATATATATATATATATATATATATATATATATATATAAATTCCCTGCGTGGCTGAGAAGAAACCAGGTCTGTTCCTTTGAAAGACACTTGTCGGTAGACATTTGTACCAATAGGAGAGTGAAAACAATCATCACATTTGTCACGACTAATATCAAATTGTCATGTATGGGTTTTTATCTGTATGTGTGTATGTTGTTCGTTATTTGGAAAACACGTCTAAACAATATTTCCTAATATGGTCATAAAATAGGTTTGTTACTTCCCCTCTTCTGTTTCGCTGCATTAGATTCTGCCATATAGGTGATAAGTCTATCGTTTCTCTTTCATTTACTGCATTCAATGTGGTTATAACATGCAAGGCTTCAGAGGTCAACCTTTCTTTCTGTGAATGTAAGCCTCTCCCTGGGATTTCGACATTGTTGAAATCAGTCCTGTGTCCAATGTCTAGTATACATTGCTGCAGCTGATCTTTTTTCTAGACTTTTTAATTCTGTTTCATTTCTCGGTGAACTTTTGGTGCATAGTCTATGCTCATTCACTCTGACCTTCACCTGTCTACTGCTCTCCCCTATATAGCAAGCTTCACATTACGAAGACAATTGTTCTGGGAAATTTTGGAAACCATATCTTTGACATTCACCAAAGCTTTTTCTAGAGAATTGAAGGACTTGTAAAATACTTCAATATTATATGAAGCAAGTAGTCTTTGAAGTTGTTCATCTGTCTCCTTTCGATATGGAACGGCTATCGTCGATAGCCAAGATTTTCAATTTTTTCTGTTCTCCCTTCTATTTCTTTTTATTGATAATATTACTTAGCAGCCTTTTCAGATAACCATTTCCAATCAAAATATGTTTTATATAGCACTAAATCAACGTCCTCTATCTTCGGCGAAATGATATTCAAGTTTTTATATCAGTATTAATTTAAGGTCATAGTGAATCAGCTAAGTTCTGTACTATTTGTCTGTCAGACCGTATATGTACAGGACCCGCCACTAATCCAAGTTGTCTCACGGCATATATTCACGCTAAGTGAAAGGGAGGAATATGCTAAATTCGTATTACGAAAGCTAGTGAAGCGTTATAAGAGAGAGAAAAGTAGAAATTGGTTATAGTTGACTAAGAGCGGATAGGCCTGTGGATTTAAGTCTTGGTACCAAAAGTCTTTAATTATAAGTGGTCACTGGTATGTTAACTAAATAGTCTACACATCCGAATCAGACTATTGCCAATATTCTCTGATTTCACAAGCTTGTAGCATAACGTGACTTAGCTGCCATCCATTTCTTTCGAGTCTGAAAGTGCTGCGTGATGTTTGAGTTATATGTTCATCGAGGGCGCTTAACAACATAGTCTTGGTTGACTTATATATTAACTAGAACTCTACACCCAAGTTATACACTGCTCAGGTTGCCTGTAATAACTTTATTGTTGGCGTTGAATTACTACACTTTCGCGCTCAATTACTGGCTTCGTACTGGATGCACATTCTATCATCAGACTACATTGATTTTTACTACTTGTCGAGTTTTTTCCTTATTTCGCATTTTTCTCGTTTCTGAAGTGGGTGTTTCACTGTTTTAGCTGACTTGTTTGTGCAGGTCTTTGCTCAATGTGTAATGTACTGTTATGTGAATATCTCAAGTTAATCAGCAAACTTTTTTGATAAATAAAACTTGGAAAAACTTTTTAAAACAATACTTATTAGCTGTTAAAGTAAGATTTATCAGCCTGTTACTTGATTGTAAATTCGTGTTTAATTTCTCTTGATGACAGACTGGTTCAAAATATAATCCGTCATTTTCTTGTCCGACGTCGACTGAATTTTGCTAAGTATGTATGTCACTGTTAGTTCAACGAGCCATATATAAGGAGTCTAAGAAAATTAGTTTTCAAGATGCAGTTACTAGGTATGGAATAATTGACTACTGATCTGATGCTCTTTCACTTCAAGAATCATCTTTCAACAACGCAGTTACGGATAACTGTTTTCACTTAACGAAGGGTCGGAATAAAGCTGGCATCAGTAGATTTGAAAAACAACTTTCATTCACTCGTATGTTGTTACATAGTTGTGAAAGTGTTTGATTATCCGAGCAATCAAAGAAAAGTGTGCTATCGTATTAGTTTGACTCAGAAAGTGAGTTTTCGAATGACAGTGAATTGTTTTTGTCGTTTTTGTTTTTGTCTTTACTAGCCCTTTATTTATTTCGAATGCATGTGCATCTGTTATCAAGCGTTAGAACTTTAGTCTCGAACTAAATTTTATTGTTGTAACTGTGAACCTACTGTGACAAGTCAGTTGTAGCAGTAGGTGAATAATAATAACCCTGATGATAAAAGTTTACTCAAGTAACTGAATAAACTAGATATTTGATCACCGTCATGTACGAGAATTACCTGTGTCTAATTAGGTTTACCAAAAAATATTGTTGTTACAGCAATAAAATGAACTGTTTGTTTCTGTTGTAAGCTATCTAGATAAAATTGAAATGTGCATTCATAGATATAGTGATAAATGTAGAAATGCAAATACTATTAGCGAACTACGCAGTGTGGTTGGAGAAGGAAGGTGTCGTAGTTGTATATAGACAAAAGGTAATCGACGTAACAGGGAAGTTGACAAGGCAGTAATTTTGAAAACATGAATCTATTCATGAATAACTCGTTACATGATTTGGCTAAGTATAGCATATATGTGTACTCAGTACAATGCTAGACTATTGGTCATATGTTCACGCATTCTCTGTCCCTGAACGTACAGTATTTATCCTGTTAACCAAACTCAACCAGGCTTGCCAACGCCAAAAATCTGATTCCAAGGACTAGATTTTAAGTTGAAAAAAACATGAATACCCAGTGATTCCGGGTTCATCATCTTAATGAGAGACGGATTAGGCTAAGACCAGCTCTTGGTGACGGGCCTAATCGGTTTCAAAATAGGTATTAAGCTTTCAAGAGGATTCAGTCTTTGAAGTTCACGCCTATTCGTAGAGAAAAACGAAGTATATCGTAATTTGCTGCTTGTCCACTAAATGGTTTCATTGTCACCCATCATTCACCAAATGTCCTCTCGGATAAGTACTATGAGTAGTTCATTACCTGTCAGCTTCTGAATAGATCCAGTGACTTAAGTGACCGTTTCTAAACCGTTTCATGTATCTCAAGCATGTTATGGGGAGTATGGGTTGTCGTTGTAAAAAACAATATGGTATGGTAATGGGACTTCATCGTCATTGATGTATCACTAGATATTACTCTAACTGGCTTTAGAGACTAAGAAATTTACTTATTACCAGGGAACGGCCTCATGGGCTCAGAGTCTACAGATAAAGCTGTTCTCTTGGGCGAAGACACCAGAAAACGAAGTCGTTTAAACACAGCAAGAATGTTTGAATGCTTGGCATGCGATTCACTCTTGTCAAATGCACGATGATGATGCAGACCTGGTCTACACTAACCCGTATTTTGAAAATAAAGAGGGGAGTGATTGAGTGTGGTGACCACTTCACTTATTTTTTAAAGTTATATTAGCTCTAGTGCACTGATTGTTGAGGAAATCCCTGCTGAGATGCAGAGGGTTCGTGTGGTATTTTCCAACTTTCATCATTTCTGGCATAGACCTAATATTCGGCCATCAAGGGAAGGACGTACTAAAGTTCGCCTTGTGCCTTTTTTTAACTGAAAAAAAAATCGTTGGAAGGGGAAGATTTGAAGAGACTAGTTGTCTTTGAACACAGGTATTTGCGTTCTGACATTGGCATAATGTAGAGAATAATACCGAGGTAAGAGAAGATTTTAGGTAACGATGACAAATCAATCTATCAGGCTCTGAAGCTGCATTGATTGAGATGGCTCAGACACATATTGTGCATGTGAAGCTACTCTCTTATCCTTAGAATGGTGTTAGCTGACATCGAGTTGGATGGCCAAATCGGATACTGGCATCAATCCATGAAGTCTTCAAATGTTGGTTTGAGGTACGTTGGTATGTGAAGTGTCCACAGAATGGCTGTTATTGTCGTGGCTCATAGTCATTTACACTATCGTAGTTGTATTCCCTTCTCGTCATCCACTACAACTTGAAAATATCCTGTAGTGTAGTTATTCGCTCTTCTGTACATCCTCCCCATTGTATTTTGACGACAACTCTTTTCTTTGTCACTGAAAAGTAAGCGGAAATCTTTGATGCATTTCAGATTTCCTCCTATATCGTTGTTCAAAGCTGTTATCAAAAATGCTTATTGCCCTAAAGTGTGTTACATTTCAAGGTATTTGTTATAACTCTAGTTGTATGTAAGATAGATGGTCTAAGTTATTATTTGTTGCCATATTGTGTCGTTTATACCCATGCATGACCGCCGATTATTAGGTCCGAATATGTCAAACTGCTTACATTCAAGTTGTTCATTTTACTAATCTGCCTTTTTCTTAGAATTCACTTATCTTTTGCTATCGCTCGAACTTATTCGTTTCTGTTTCTTGATTGTAATCACATTGCTAGGAATTTACTGTTGCATAATTTGTCCCAAAGCCTCACTTGAGTGCATTGTGATGTAGTTGAATATTAATCACAGGTTCTCTTTCATCTTAATGTCAACTTTTGTACATTGTGTAGGTTTTGCTATGATTGGTAAACCTTTTCGATACATACCGTACTTCCTTATAAAGCGTTGAACTCTTAACAGAAAGCTGCACTTCTAGACTATAAAACTTGTGTGTGATCAGTCTTCGTTGGGTTCTCCACTGATACATTACAGGATGTATGGTACCACCAATCAGTTTACTTTACTCGTATGTGCTAAACAGTTACTATGGGACTTAATCATTTCCAATTATCAGTAGGACTTTTGTGTGATTAGTGTAAAATCTAGTACTTAAAGCCGACTAATATGGATAATTGTGAGCTGAGTTTAAAATGTCATTTAGTGTTTTTTGTGAAATGTCTGGTAACTGTACCTATCGTCTGTTTCATATTCACATAAGGTAGCAGCTTCATGGGCTTTGGCGTTCCAAATCTATGTGTAAGGTCCAAATGAGATTGTAGTTGCATGAGTAATTCCATCCGATATATATAATTCACTGGCCCCAGAATTTACTAAACATTTTGTTTATTCCTCACATCTAATAATGCTTCGCAGCACTTGTGTTGTACTGTGAATTACTACGTGGTGTCATAGCTTTGCCAGCCCATAATGTTCTTCTTGAGGTTGGAGACTTATAACATTCCGTAATGCTTGTTAAGGATATTTTTTATTTATATGATAGACTCATTATACATATAACAGTTAATAAATTTGAACAAAATGAGCGCTTATTATAGAGTCAGCCAAGCTTCTCTTTTTCGATGTCATCATTAAGCATAGTTACTGAAATTTTTGTAGGACAGTGATATGATTTTAATGTAAAATTTTAGCACGTGACTTCGGAATTGTGCTCTAAGGATTCCATTTTAAACTCAATGAAAAGTCCTTGTGTCAATTTTTAACAAACCCACATTTCTGTTCTAAGCATCCTTTTCTACTGGAACTCGTTTTTTTCGCGTTTTCACTTGATTTATTTTTAACAGCGTTGTTTTCATTAATTTTGTTTTATGCTTTCTTCTAGATAACTGATATTGATGCAGTCTGCGACGTTATCGGACGTTTAGAAAACTTTCCAATGACCATGAATCAATTACAAGATACTAGGATTGGTCAACTTCTACAAACTATCCGGCATAAAGTAGATATACCTCTTCAAAAGCGGATTCGACTTGTCATCAAGGCCTGGCAGAAGCTGTTAAGTCCTGACTTTTCACACCCGTTTGTAATTCCTTCAAAAGCGTCTGACAAAAGTGTAAATACACCTCTTAAATCAAATGGTACACCAACTAAGCCACACGTTCATGAAACGTCTATGCTATCTACAAATGCTATGAAAACCTCACTTCCTTCACAGTTAAAACGTCCTGATATAGTCAGCAGCAATGAGGCATGTGTCCGTTCAACGAAAAGGAATTTGCCAGATGATTCACCAGACAAGACTTGTGACAAAACTGCATCAAAACCACGTGCCTGTCAGACTCAGCATAGCGATAACCATAATTTCAATGAATCTAAACGCCAAAAATCTGTAGACTTATCATTGCCTCCTAGGAGCGTATCAAAGCTAAGTCACAATAATAGTCCTTCGGTTAAGATATTAAATGGCACTAGGGGTACAGAACCACAGGATTCTCGATCTCAATCAAATTCAGACTCTCCAGTATCGCAGTTATGTACATCGGCGACCTCTCGATTACCACCTCTACAAAGTTTGTGCAAACCTCGTGTAATCAACTCTGCCCGTTTATCAAAAGTTAAATCCACCGCAGAGCTAGTTCAAGAGGCAGGCGACTGCATTGATTCCGCTACTGCTGATCGTATTCTAACAAACAGAATTAGTAAAGAAGTTGATCCATCACGTGTGTCTTCTCTTACGCAGCCTACAAAACTACATTTAAGCCGAACATCTTCTGGTCCTCATCAAACTTCATGCAATATCACTGTTAATAATAATGAAGTAACACCACTTCCAAAATCCAGTACATTTTCAGATTCAAAGTCCCACATAGAACCAGAGTTTATCGAAACTTCTGCTTTAATTGACAAAAGCCGTATCCCTGTTTCCGATTCTTTCGGAATGACATCACATTCAGGAGTGACGCAAACAGTTGCTCATGATCAAAATCCACTTTTCACGAAAAACAATGAAAATATTTCGAATCAGCCACTTATCATGAATGTAAATAGTGAAATACAGGACTCCCAAAAGGTAAAAAAGAAAAAGAAACACAAGCATCATAAGCATCACTCCGATATATTGGATGAATCGTTTGGGTCGCACTCCAAGAAATCAGAGAACTGGGAAGAATACAGAAAACATATGCCTCCCGTGACTAATTTCATGGACGATTGGCCAGAATTACCATCTTTACCAGCTGAGATTGATTTCAATAGTCTTGACAGTAGCTATGTAACTACCTGTGATAGTACTTTTTCGAATAATAAAGAGCATACCCTCTCCCCTAAGAGGCGCACAAAAGGCACTGAACTTGATTTTATTTCTCCTACTGAAGTGCACTCAGTTTCGCTCGGTGACCAATATTTACATATACTACCTTGGGTTGACATGATAGGATACAGACGCCAATTTTTTCCTTCTTCCTCTGATCGTGAGCTAGATGAACTGATTAAACTGCCCGAGCCTTGGTGATATACTTGTCCTTGTTAAGAACTTTTGCTGCGGTGCCTTGCGGGATTAACCAGTGTATTCTACTTGTTTCTTTCAAATTGCGAGTACTTTTGAGTGTATCTAAATTACCCTTCTTTGACATTGATGAAAATATCATGTGGCATTTATTTCAGTTATCAGTAGATAAATTTTTTGCAGATCAAGGTGCAGAAACATTTCAAAAATTGAAGTTTAGTATCTTGTTGATGACCCTAGTCACTGGTTTGTGAATGTGACTCAACTACTCATCTCTAGTCTAAGTGTGTTTTGTCATACTCCTTGCTGTTGGATAAACATCTTCCTGAATAAGGACATCACACATATCGAAAGCCCATTTTAATGCTTTACCAGAATGTAACTGTTCACTATGGGCTTGGAATTTTGTACATAACTAACTTGATTTCTTTAACTGTTTGCTTTATAAGATTTGAAAAAAATATATAAAAAATGTATCTAACGAGGAATTATTGTTTTATATTCACTTTATAGCTACAAAGTTGTATATTTCCTTGATTCATTGTCTATGAATACCATCTAATTGTCTAGTTTGGCTTCCAGGTCACAAAACAAACATCGTGGTCGTTTTCTCCAGTCAGTTGTCGTGGTCTCTACGAAGTTCTTTTCACAATTAGGACACTGAAATCAAGAAAAAAAGAGTTTAAATTTATTTTGAACAACACTGGTCTTCATTCATAGCTTGGACTTCTGCTTACATCTATCCAGGTTTTCTGCTGTTATGAATATATATCAAGTAGATTTATGCGAATATTCTGGACAATTCTGTTAAAATATCGCCATAATTATAATTTAACATGACTGTTACTAACACTTACCGATTATTATCGCCCTTTAACTAAAGGACAGTGTAAATTGAGCACTTATTTTTCCGTGCACTGAAAAAATATTTGTGCCTATCTGAAGTGAAATTTTTGTATCATCGCTATATCTATTTAACTTCTCTCCGGAGCATGACAGGTAGTTTGCAACCTAAAGTATATCCGAAGAAGCATATGGCGTAACTCTGTTGTAGGTATTTGCTTCAGTTATTTATAGATGTGTCTGATCTGGCAATGTTTTCGAAGACCATTTGCTCGTAGTATATCGAGTTCCTAGCCCCCTTTTTCATTGCCAATTTTACTCCTGTATCCTTTGCAGTAAGTCATTCTCATCAAATACTTTAAGACAGTGTTAGTTGCAGTGGCAACTTTCTCGATGTGAGTTAAGTTCGCGTAAGTCAATGTTATCAGTGTATTAAGTAACCGAGCTTTCTGTTACAAACTATTGACTTCCTACCTTCAATTCATATTCTTGTTTTCAGCAAACATTTATGAGGTCTTTGGGACCTGTGTTTAAAGATGTATATATCTGGTTTTGTAATAACTATCTTCCATACTTTGATGGAAATTCTAGGAAACTATCGAAAAGTGAAGCTTTTTAGTTGAGTAAGCAATTAAAATATGACATGCCAGTGACAGAAGAATTGGTTAAGTTGTGTGTTCCCACCACATAACAGTAAAACTATAGGCTTAGGGTGATATTTGGAAGAGATCTACGCGTGTGTTTTATATACGGATTAAATACAATTTGAACCATCAAAACCCAGTGCTGTCGTCAGGTCTTACATTGAGCTAAACAAACAGCGAATGACTTATGTCACTGTTGTGTGTAATGATTGGGATCCACCCTGATTTCTGCCGGTTTCAGTCCAAATTGCAGCACGGTGACAAACTGACCAACAGTATTAAGTCAGTGCTGCTTGAAAACAGTCGTGTGACATGTTATTCACTTGCATTCTTGATTGTTATTATCTGGTATAAAGGGAATCATACATTGTGACCTGAATATTTCCAGTTTCCGGAAGAAATTGATGATTTATCACCTGTGTGTAATTTGCAAATGACGACGAATAGGTACCTGAGACTTGACTGCGACCCGTAATGTAAACCATTTATGCCGAAATAATACCAATTTTTGCCACCTCCAAGTCGGATGTGGTCAAAATTAGACAACAGAAAACTATAAATCGTATCTTTACTACCATTCTAGGAAGAATTTTTGATGGTATTCCATTGCTTATTCAAGTGTTCTGGGATAGTCAGGAAACTGTCTACTTGATTTCTTAATCAAGATGGGTTTGGAAAGGCACGCGAAATGTATAAGTAGGTGTCTAGCACACATAGATTTCTTAGGTGTACCGTTAGCGATTAGAAATTAGCAAACAATTAGCGATGATCGTTACTTTTCTTGGAAATCTTTATTATAATGATGTTTGAAGGTTGTCGCAATAATGTAGGCAAATCTTGTTAGTGAAGATGAAAATATATAATGGATGCACTTGTTTAACACTCATATACTTGTCAAACTTACCTTCAGTGTGAGGATATTTTGTTGTTTACCGGGAAGATAGCTGAAAGGTAATTTTTCTATTACTTCCATATTGCATGATCTTATCGTTCTATCCTGTGAAAAGTAGTATTCATAATTGTGATTACTTTTGATGCTGTCAGAATCCACTTTCCATCTTTTGTCAGGCTCACGTCATTGATCCAATCTGTGTGTCTCTGCGAAGAATGCTTAATATTCGAAAATTCAAAGTACCTTTAGACATAATTTTATTTCCTGTTTTTCAATATCCCATAGTATAACGGATTTGTCATGACCTCCGGTCACCAAATAGTTCCCTATGAACATTAAGGGGTTCAGTCTTGACCTCACCTTGATCATCTGTGTCACAACTGCTAATTGAACCTGTATGTCCATTTTCCAAGGTTTGCGGTCCTTGTAACCTGTATTTTCCAATGTCGATATCATATAAGCAGACTGTCTTGTCCCATGATGTTGTTGCTAGCAACTTCCCATCCCTAGTTATTGCTGACGATGACACAGCATTCTTATGATCTCTAGAACCAATCGGATTTATACTTATCATCTTTTCAAACCTGAGCGTCAGCAGTGGTCTTTGCGATCTAAGGTCAGTGCATTTAGTAGACCCATCTGTGGACGTTGTGACTATGTAACGGTCATTTGGAGTGAACTGACATGATGTTGGTGTTCTTTCGTGTACCTCTTAAGTTAATATATATATATATATATATAAAGATATGTCTTACTTGGTAAAGAAAATACTTTCTTCTGAGATCTTAAATCCCACAAATTCATACAACAACTTGTATCAGTCACACAGACTAGAGCGTTGCCATCCTTGCTAATAGAGTGGTCAGTAACTGCACCTCCATTTAGTAGAGTAAACTAAGTACCTTAATGCAAATCGTGGTATTACCTTTATTTGCAAAGTGTCATAATCGAATGAACATATTTTGAAATCCATTCCTCCAGTGGTGATACTGTTACAAATTATTATATTGTTCTTAGTTTACTTGCTCCATTTACTATCTACTTTCACGCTATTTATTTGTGTGACATGTTCTGTGGTGATACCGATTTGTTCGGCCTTCTCTAGAGACCAAATCCGTAGTGTCTGATCGTAGCTAACTGAAACAATGTGTTCTGTTCGCTCGTTGTAAGTTAAGCTGGTAACTGAGTCTGTGTGCCCATAGAAAACAATATCGTTGAACTAATCATAGATAATTTTTATGTCGAATTACAAGTTCCTTGTCCGTCATTCATATATGCTAGTGCTTCAAATTATCTAAGTAAGAGAAAGTAATTATCTAGAGTTACTAAATTGACTAGTACAAGATTCTTAGTATAACTATTCTGAATGAAAGAATACTTTAACATTTCCACGTAACTTTATTCCGCACTATGTAACTACATTTATACCTTAGGTTTGATGTAATGATAGCTTTTTAATATATAAATGCCGTCTTCAGTGTCCTAATTTTCACTTATACCTACTGGGTTTACAGGCAGCATATTGGCATCAGGATTACTGGTTTTCCGAGAAGATAATCACGTCAATCGTTTTAAAAACTCCTAAATTCGAAAGTATGCCGAGTTTTCGGTTCTATAATTGTTGCATTAGTCAGGTTAATGAGCTGTAAAGCGTAAATGCCATTTTGTAAGATTGAAATCGAGGTGTTACAAATATGTATCTTATGACATCTTCCTATCCGGCTATAATAATATTAACGATAATCACTATTCCAAATAACAATGTTGTACAAGATGGAATTTTCAGCAGTTTCTTATTACTACAAGTTTACTCCTTATGTACAAATCGAAACAGATTCCCGTGAATCTGAAGTTAATAAAGTTCTTGGAGTGCGCAGTAATAATGAATAAGCAACTGCTAGATATGAGTAGTTGTTTATTTACCTATTATAAAGTATCTTGGCTGATCCTTTTCTGGAATTTCTTTCTTTACACCATAAGACCCTCTCTAGTTAGGGTATAGTTAAATTCGTAGCCACATGTGGTGCAGTTGTTTTCGGAACGCTTCAAAATCTCTGGCCAACTAAGGGGTAAGACTCTGTTATCCATGAAACACGAATTCTGAGAGCGACTTACAAAACTACATCTTAAATGTCGGTACAAGTCGTGGTGCAGCACAAGACTCACTGTGGTATATTTTGTGTATTATTGAATTACTGAGAATGACAAAGTATATTATGGCTCTACACTTAGGAAATGTGAGCTTCTGGTGATTATCAGTAGAGGAAGGTCATGGAAACATTCTTAAATCAAATCTCAGTAAAATGCTTAAGAGTTTATTAGACTCACTAATATCTATTGACATCAGTAAATGTATAACCATGAACAGAAGAAGCATTACACTGTATAAAGAAGATGCTAATGCTCATGACCTAATATGGACGCGCTTAATTTTCATATATTGTGTTAGGGAAAGTTTTTTTCGTTTGATTTTGGGAGACTTAAATACAAGATTGTGATATCCAGTTGTATTTTATTACACGGCATCAGTATGTGCTGTGCTTTCAAAACTGAAAATATCTCTGCAATATAATAACCTGAAAATCATAGACTCCTGTCACACCCATAGGGTTAAGTGCTACTTCGGCATCTCACCAAAACCAGGATAAGTCTTCATCATAGTTAAGAGAATTCCACCTTTAGTACTGACGCGTTTGAAAGCTTTGGGCACCAGAAGTACATACTTTTCATTACATGTGAATAATCCAAAGCGGCCTAAGTGTTACTTAGTTTTTCATTCATTCAATATTCTCTGGACAGCTAGATACTACTAAATCTAAACTATGGAACCATTTGTAAATTTTGGAACGGTGAGTTAGGGATCCCATTCGATGTCTGTAATCATCTCATTTCAGAATATTGCTACAACCTCCTCTGTAGCATTTTCGTAAGTAACAATTAGAAATCTTCGAACTGAAGATTTACAGTTATACATCGCATAAAGAATAATTGAAAGTGACACCATACTAAAAAACCCACCAAATGTAGCAGGCGAAAATCAAGAATTATATGGAAAACGACAGGCAACCTTGACCTGCATTTCTGCGGTCTAGAAATGGAACAGCTGAAGCGCCTTACCCTGACGTTCCTAATCATACAAATTTTATATTTCTTTAAAGTATTCATTTGTAAAAAATCGAATATTTGTTTTTAGCAGGACCAGACAAATTTAGAAATGTTTTTTTATTTACACCTTGATTCCACACTGTATTTTTGGTACAAGTATGGAATTTTCAACACGGATATCGGTAGCCCAAATTTTGCAGGCCGACCATAGATATCAGGTGTGCTCGGCAGGGAATCAAACCTCGAACGATGTGTATGGCAGGCGAGAGTACTAACCAGTGTGCTTCCGACGAAAATCCAATAAAAATTGCGAAGTCGCCCAGTCGGAAAACTTTTTCAGACCTGGGATATGCGGGTGGAAACGTGGGCAGTTTTCTGTTAAAAAGTGGGCTAAGAGGGAAAAAATGTGTCATTTTCGATCCCAACATGTGTAGAATGAAAGAAACTGGGTTGTTTCCCAAAATTATTTGGTTAAAGTGGTTTCAGTCTTTTTGGTGAACTGACAAAATCACAAAATTTTCCAGATACTCTTCAACAACTATTCATAGTAAAACTGGAACATTTGGTTTACTATTTACATGCATATATATTACAGGCCTTTTCAGTCTTGGACCACCTAATAATTTTAGGATCAATTCATTCCAATGAATACGCAAGGTATTCGGAAAAATCACCGATGTGTTCCATAAACTATTTAAAAAATCCAACTCTGTAATTTAATAGTTTCTTCGTAAAATACCAATAAACTAACTGTATATGATCTAGACATTTTTCGAAGACTTTTAGGCTGGCTTGAATGCCATTTGTATTTCAACTATAAATATGAAAACGATTTCTCCCACATAATTCAACCTCGTAGTGGTATTACGAAAATAGATATAGGCAGATTTTGGTTGGCTTTTGGTTAGCTGGCTTCCTATCGGTCTAAAATATAAGTTAAATCGGTAAATCTTTTTATTTTGACACGGAAATTTACAGTCAGTATGATTTAGGGCTTACCTTACCATAATATAATGGCGTGTTAATTTTTTTGGTATGAGTGTAGTGTGATAGTCACACGTTATTTGGATGCATTGGTGGTGTTTAAAG